ACCATTAGCACCCAGCTCAATAAGGCCTTACTAGCATTTAGGCTTCTGACACGTTTGGGCAGGTTCTAACACTGTGCAGCGGCTTGTCAAAGTTAAGAGGAAAAAAAATGTGTTAAGTCTTTTTGTAATGAGAATTTCAACTAATCAGAGCTCAGGAAGTCAGAAAGTAAAAGCAAGCTTTGGTGGTTTTGTTTTTTTTTTTTAAACTAAAAATGAACACCTCACTCCCAAGAAGCAGTCAGATTTTGTTGGGGCATCTGACAAGTGATAACAAAATTGCTAGATGTTTTGCATCAAAAAATCTGATAAGATTCACTACAGACAAAGAATTTGCACTTACAGAATATAACATAATCACACCAAATACTAAATCACCATGAGACTGAAGTAGAGAAAAAAAAAAGCCTGAAGCTTAGTAGTACAAAGTATGAGGTTATGCACTTATGGTTCAGTAAAAATTTATGGAAAAAATTGGGATCTTTTCAAAATTTGTGAGAGAAGAATGTGGAAGTACTACACCTAGTGACTAAACTGCAAGTGAGCAGAAGACATATAAAAGAAATGCTAATCTTGGTATGCATTGGTCAAAGTATTTCTGGTAGAAAAAAGAAAGCCCTAATATTATTCAAGGTCTTGAGGAGGTTTTACCTGGAATACCAGTTGCATAGATTCACAGAATAGATTCCAATGAAAACAGTGAAGAGTCGTTAAGACAATCCATGAAACAGAGGGTGTATCTAAGAGATGAGACTAAGTTCAGAGTTTTTTGTCAATGAAATAAAGAGTGAGAGGGTATTTATACTACAGAATCATAACATTGGGGAAAAAAGTTTAAGAGGAGGAACAGATATATAGAATAGCTATTTTAATAGCAATGCTGAAAAAAAAGACAACTGGTTAACTGAATAGTAGAGCAATCTGGAATAGGTCTCCAACATAAAGGTCATGAGACAGTAGTCTATCCAGTTTTAAGACAGAACTTGATGAGTTGACATAAGAGGTGGCACTAGACTCCAGGAGTCCCTTTCTAATCTGACACTCCTGTATTTCTTCATGTGCCTATGAAAACAGAAAGAAAAGGAATTACTTCTTGTATTAAAATTAACCTAAATGGCCTAAATTGCCTAAGGGGTACTAATGAATATACCAATATATGGAATAGGAAAATAATCTGACAGATGTTGATGAGCTTCTTAATTTAACAAACATATTTTTTATTGGTTTTAGCCAGTTAGTGATAGAACATACTAATATTTTCTATCCTATGAACAATTCAAAACATTTATAACAATTTTTTGTCTAAGCTCTTCCATACTTGTCACCAAGGAAAGAATGATCAGAGACTTAAGTAATTTCAATTTCCTTCTCACGGACCACTTGAGGTTTATGGTTGCTGATCCAATTTCCTTCTCACGGACCACTTGAGGTTTATGGTTGCTGCTCCAAAAAAAGAGATTTATGAAGTACAATTCTTGCAGCAACATCTGTCAGCAGCAAAAGGTTACTTCTAAGAATTCTTTTTTAGAATTTAAACCCACAGCTCTGGCTTAAACCATCACCTTCACAAATCTAAACACATTCCCTGGGCATCCTTTGTAGGCAATATCACTCCTCCCACTATAGATCATGCCTGTCTGAGGAGAAATAAGGATTGCAAAATAAGGTTTTCAGCAGCAAATAAACCCAATATTATCTTGAACATTAATTTTAATCTCATTCTCCCCATCATCCAGAGTAAAAGATAATTCACTCCTCCCTTTCCAACAATATGTTGTCAATTATAAGAAAAATTCTTGTGCTGGAAAATAATCATGGGCAGGATATTTTAGGAAACTCTTGACCATTATCATTTCTACCCAAGGACCACTTTTGCGTCTTTCTTCTCTGTGCTAGCTAGAAGTGTTAGTACCTGACCTCAGGTCTCTGAGAATTAATTCTGCCCAGTAGAAAAAGAAAGATGCTAGACATGAATCCCTAGACTCCCTGACACTCATGGACTTTTTTTTTTGTTTGGGTTTTTTGGGGGGTGGGGAGGTGGAGTGGGTGGTTTTTTGGTTGAGGGGTGGTGGTGGTTTTTGGGTTTGTTTTGGTTTGGTTTTTTTGTTTAAACAAAGTAGGAACCTATATTCTCCTTTTCTGTTTCATTCAAGTCCAGATTCATATAATTTAGTGGTATCTCATGGAGACTAATTAAGGGATACAGTACACAGAAAAAAGCATACTAACAGGGACTCAAAAAAAGTTACTTCCACTCTCCTACCCCAAAGACTTCATTTCTGTCAATAATGCAATCAAATATCATGAAAGAATTTTGATTCCTTTCACCCAAACTATCAGAGGCTATTAGATAACTATAACATACCTTGTGTTCTATTAGATATGTTATCCTTTACCCACACATTATGTATATCGCTATTTTATTTCTCTCTTATGTCAAGGCATAAAGTTCATTTTATTAAAAAAAAAAAACAAACAACAAAAAACCAAACCCAAACCAACCCTGTCAGAGAGGCGCATTACCCATAGATGAGAAGTCTGGCTTTCTCACTTCCTCCCACCTCTGGTGTAGCAGTGGATAACAATAGAGAACTCATTTCATCCGAACACCAGAGCATAGTTACAATTGTGATAGATCTAACTGAACAAGAGACATTTGATTCAAGAAGAGATTTTTGTGAGGCAGATTTAGAAGAAAAAAAAAGTTTTAAACATGCCAAACCACGGGAACAAATGTTTAAAATTGTGAAATAGGGTTCAAGTATTTTTTCCTCTCAAGCTACTCCTTGTTGGAGGGACACTGTAGGTGTCAAAGATACTACCATTAAAAACAAATAATGCCTATACCAGAACCAATTTACCACCCCTATTCTCCCTGAATTATTCAGATTTTAGCAAAAGCCAACTCTTTGGATAAGGTCACAGATCTTTTACCAGAATTTTTTCCTCAAAGGAAATCAATCCAATAGTTCTCTGAACTAAATTAACTTTTAAGCAGACCTTGAACACTTAAAGTTCCAAACAATTAGGGAAATGCAAATATTAAACAAATCAAACAATTTAGCAATTTTCCTGCTTGCAGTCTCCTCCTCTGTAATGACTTGCCATTCTTCCTAAATCAAAACTATATACACATGTACCTCAATATTCCCTAGCTCATCCCAAAATCCTTCCCCTCAATTGTTCCTTCAGAATAGATTCTACATAAACTCCTCTTTCAGTCTTGCAGTTCAAGTGCTACCACTCTAAGCCTAGACAAGAATAACGCAAAGGCTGATCAAGTACAAATAAGTACGGAATGGAAGTATTGATAATTTATTCATGCAATAAACATTATTTTCTGGCCAATATAGTGGGTTTATCCCTTCTTTAATGATACCATATTTGGTTAAAGTTAATACTAAAACTTCTACAGCGTTTTACTAACCATGTTGTTCCTCCTCCTTCCAAATGCTATGTGGAGCTACTATCCCAGAAATCAAGTATGCTAAAAGTACTAACCAAATTACAAATCACAACAGTTAGAGATAAGAAATAGGAAGTGATGTTTCTAGAACATCCTGAAGTGAATTATCCTGGTCCATTTGTCTTAAAACATCCACAAATTGTGTGGAAAGAAAAAAAAAAATCTCAGAAGTTGTTATTTGTATTTTTCAGACAATAAAAATAAAAGGATATGTGAATAAATATTAATAGAAGTAAATATACAGCTGATTGATTAGTTGAAAGCTTTTTTTTTTAAATCAGACTACTTTTTAAATAGCTCAGTGATAAGGCTTACCTATAAATATACACAGCAAAATTACAACATTATAAATATAACACATAGGACAAAATCAGAGGGAGAGTGGGGAAGAAACACCAGCTGACTACAAGTGTTCTGCAAGATCCTTGAGACAAATCAACTCCTTGAAAGGACAGGTAGGACAATATCAATTGAAGGGGTAAATTGATATTATATCTCATAGAGCAAGTACTGTGTCCACTTCTGTCACCTGTGTTTCAAGCTGTTTACAATTGCTAGGAATTTAAAAAAAAAAAAACAACACTACAAAAATCATTTGAGGTCTGAGAGGCAGATTAAGTTCTTTTTCTGTAAAGGATCAGCATATTTAGTTCAAGAACAAAATCAGTGAATTCCCTTAATTAAATCTACAGATAGAGAAAGGATGATTTCTAGCAGTAGATAATCCTTTAATTCAAGCCGAAGTGTGAAGATGATCCAGTATCTGGGAGCTGAAGTAAAGTCAGACTAAGTATAAAGGTAAGTTCAAAACAATAAGGGTAATGCAACAGCATATTTAGATATGTGAATATATACTATATCACCTGAAGTTTTCAGGTAAAGACAAAAACTCTGTAAAAACTAGTACAATAGAGTATCCACACAGCATCAGCTTGATTTAGAAATTACTATTCTATTGACTTGCATTACAGAAGCTAAGAGGACAACAAAATAATTATTCTGATATAAAATTCAGACAACTAATATATTGCTTTTGAGGTATCATCATTTATATAGGTAGAAGTATTTTTTGCATATGTACCTAGTGCCCCACTTCAAGCTATTTTTAAAACATTTACTGTAATTTAAAGTGAACAATAAATAAATCCCATTAAAAAGATTTTTTAAAAAAATAATTTTCTTTAATTTGTCATTAAGACAAGAATCACATTTTTAAACATCTATGAGGTGCTGTAAGCTAGATATTGAGGACTACATTTAAGATACTTTATTAAAAAATTTAAGATGTTAGTAAGTGCCTAGCTACTACACAACAGGTAAAACACAACAGAATGTTTTAAAATGTTCACTTTTTTCAAAAACAGAAATATACTAAATTGATTAAGATATATACATGAGAAGTTATCTTGATAAGTCAGCAAAAACACATTGAATGAGACTTTCAAAATGTGTATATTTAGGAAGAATATGAACAAGATCAGGAATTTAGGAGAAGGGGAAAAGGAATTAAATGTAAGGACTTACATGCCTTACAAATTTAGAGTCTTTTTAAATTTCTTTTGCTTTGGGCACTTCCTGGAGGAGCATCTTTTTTGTTCTTCCATTTTGCAGATAAACTATTACATTCTTTTGACCCATGGAAAGCATGCAGACATAAAATACAGAACTCAAATGCACATGCCTCTCTGCTACATAGTCCCCGTTTCTTTACCAATTGATATTTAGCAGGATATTGACATCTTGGACACGGTTTTAGAGCTTCGTCAGTGAACAGAGTTTTAGCAACCTGTAGCAAGAGGAGGGAAAGAAGAGCTACTTAGTTCTTGTAAATGAAGGTTTTCTAAAAACTGAAAGTAAAGAGTTTCTTAGCTACCTACCTTTATGTATTCTTCCTGTCTACTAGTTGAATGGGGAACAGAATTGCATCTCCTAGGTGTAAGTTCAGTGTATGAAGGTGGTGTTTGTACTACAGGAGTTCTGGCTTGAGCTTGAACAGGCCTTAGAGCAGATCTATTGAGAACATTAAGTCGTGTGGCAGCATCTTCAGCTTTCAAGAAATATTCCTGTTGAAGTTTATAATTATAAAGAAAGGAGAGGAAAAAAAAAAACCACACAAAAGGAAGCAAATTAGGGTTTTATTTCATTTTGGATTTGCAGCTGTTTTTTGCCTTTTTTTGTTTTCCCTCTGCAAGAACACATTAGGAAAGGAAATTATGTATAGTGCATGTATCTCTCATTAAATGTTTATATTTAGTAAGGGAACAAGAGAGAGGAACCATTAAAAATAAAGTCCCATGAGCAGGATAAAGCACCAACTGTCTTTTAGCACTCTCTACTGGTCCTCACGTTTCTGAATTACAAGACATCTCAACAGCAAGCATGGATATAGCAAACATAAGTTTGGCACAATTAAAGCAAGGTTACACTGAAGTGTGTGTATATACACATGTGGAGGATCTAAAAAAGTTATACTGCTATTAATATGCTTACTTTTCTAGATACCCCTTAAAAAACTTCTATATGTCCTTCTGATTTTCACAAATACACCACGAAGAAGCTTAGCCACAAGCAGTCCTGAAAATAATCAGGAAGTAGTCTAGAGTGGGTACCACTGCACTGCAGACTAGAGTGAAATTGAAAATGAGGAATAGCATGGCACAAAGGTATGAACAGGGTTTAAGATCCAAAGCCAGAATCAGTCAAGGAAGAGATCCTACAGGATTCTCAAGAAGGGGGAAGCAGGGGAGGGAAGAAAGGAAAAAGAAAGAGTATCATATGGTTGAAAGACTAGTACTCAAACTGTGGATAGTTGAAAAGCAATAAAAGCAATTACATTCTCCTGTTAGAATCCTTTACATACTCATGTTGGAACTGTCTCTATCAATTACCTTTCTGTAAAAGGTAAACAAGATGTTTCCTCTTTCCTCTGACCTGTCTTCTTCCACACTTAAAAAAAAAATTACCTTTGAGATGAACCTTACCCCAGCTTCTTCTTTCAGGTGTTTTATGTATAACTTTCTCCTCTTATCTGCACTTTTATCTTGTACAATGATTTCACGCCAGTTTTTGCTTACTTTCCAAATGCTGGAATAAATGAATGACAAAAATTATCCACTTCCACGTTTTTGCCAAGTAGTACAGAAGTCATGATAGTAAGACTACCTTTTAAAGATTTGTCATTATTTCATATACTATTGGTCATTTTACAGACTACTGCTAAATACTTCAAGAGTTCACCATATTGTTATGAAACACAGATCTCATGTACTCTTATGCACCATTGTATAGAATAATAGAATCTAGAGAACGATTGCAATATAAATAACACAGCATATCTTTGACTTACAAAATCAAATAAGTTTCTTCCTTCCACATAAGCCACTTACCAAATGTGTTTCTAAAGTCACATTTTTGTGTTGTGTTCCAAAAACATCCGTGCCCTTATACTTGCACCTATTCTCCCATTTCCTTTGTAACTAATAACAAAAATGGCACTCTTGATTTCTTTGAAATAAGTGGCAGTTTCTATTGATTAAAAGTTAATCTAGAACATTACTCATAAAGCAAAATTCTTTGAGCATCTTTGTGCTTAGAAATAACTGAGGAAATTAAATACACAAGGACAAATCTAGAAAATGTGTTTTGAATACTACACATTATTAGGGAATTTGTAATGAGAAGAAATTACTTTCTAGGCTTAAAGAAATTTTTAATATATTTTAAAATTTACAAGTACCATGATTTAGTTTTAAGTTTACTAATTCCCATATTTGGCTTTTTGTTTGTTTGTTTTTTAATTCCCCCATACAATACATTTTTAGAACTACACAGAAAGAGCCACTTGGTTAATGGTGACAAAACTTTTTAATTTTCCCACAAACAAATTTTATTGACAACACCCGCTATTCCAGAATTTATTTTAATTTATTTGCAGAAACACATATTTTCGCCTTGTGGCGATGAAGGGGGGAAGCAGTAGTACTTACCTGCATAGACTTTCCACTGTCAAAGCATCTAAAACTATAGCAAGAACATGTTTTAAATTTCTGTATTTTAATTCTGTTAAAATATCTAATTTTTCAAGGCCCATTTTCTTGCCAATAAGTCCAGCAAGAACATGTTCTAATGCAAATATTTCTGTTCCATCAATATTCTCTGATATTTTATTTTGGTCTGATCGTTGTCTTTGCAAGCAAATTTCATGAACTATTTTCAGAGCTGGAGTTCTTGAGAGATCTCCATGACTTACAACTAGGTCTCCACTAGGCTGTTCTTCTAAAACTAATGCATGGTCTTCCCCGACAAAGTTTCGTTCTTCTGTTAACATACATGCTGAAGTAGAAGGACTGCCATGATGATCTTCTGTCTCTGACTGTGAGCCTTGTTCCCGAAGAGTGGATAACCTTCTAACTCGTTCAAGTTTTCTTGTCTTTCTTTTACTATCCAGAATTTTGGAACCTTCTTTACGTTTTTGGAAGAACTCTTGGAAAGATCCCTCATGATCAGACAATAAGTCTCCCGATTTGTCCAAATGAAGTGAATTATATCCACTATCCTCAGGTGTTGAAAGATCTAGGTAACTTGCCAGCTTAACAGGGGGAGAGTTTATATCGCATGTTTCAAAGTTAACGTTCTCTACAAGATTGTTGATAGAAGTCAGGAACTTACCCTCATTGGCCTCAGATAACACACTGTAAGTAGGAGTCCTAAGCAACCCATCACTAACACTCATAAGGACACTTTCATTGAATTCATTAGCATTACTAACAATAACACCCTTACACTGAATTGGAGATAAACATTCTGGTTCTAGCAATAAGGGGTCTTGACATTTGGACTCATCTAGTGTAGAAGTCCTTTGTTGTGAAAAAGAAAGTCTCCGTTTTGGGCAATCGGGATTAGAGTCCTCAGTTTTCGAAGTGCTAGTTGTCAGAGGTTTGTAACTTTCATCTTTTGGAGACTCTGAAGCAGTTTGTGAAAGTTTTTCTTCGGCGCTTAAAACACAAGAGAATATTTTTTTCCTGCTGCTTCCTGAAGAACTAGCTTGTCTTTCACAGCATCCTACACTTGTGCCAGCTGGAACAGTCTTAGATAAAAGCAGCCTCCTGCGTAGTGAGGAGCCTTTTCTACTCACTTTAGGAGTTTCAAAAAAATCTGCACTTCTATTTGCTTCTCTTCTTTCTGATAAGGAGATAGAATTCATTTCATTTTCAATAGATGATGACACAGGAAAGAGGGCATTTGGATGAATGCGCTCAGAATGCTCTTGTAGCAATGATAAACTTGTTACACTCAGTGCTTCTTTATGTTCTACATCAGCATCTTTTACTGACTCATTGCTTCTGCTGTCCAAAAATACTGAAGTGCAACATGTGTCTTTAAAATTGGAGTATTTAAAATTGCTGCTGGGAGATGTTAATCTATTTCTTTTAAGAATATTGAACATTACTGAATGACTGTCTGACATCTTCTGCTTGGCACTTTGACTTTGTAAATGAAGATACCAGTGTTATTTCTGAAACAAACAATAAAAGTAGTCACCAAAAAACCCTCAGATTAGTGAGAAAGTCTTGTGTAAGTCTATCAAGCTAGGAGCCATGACAAAAGTATTTTCATTAGTCTTAGTAGAAACAGTGCTTACACATGAACACAAAGATAAATTACAATCAAGTAGATGGTTAGAATGAGTGATTAAAATGCATAGTATACTCTAAGTGAGACAAATTAAAACATACATCCAGTTAGCTAATTGATCTGCCAATCCTCATCCAAGGAAAAACACCTCAAATAAGCAACACAGCAACTAGAGTCTCATTTGTGCTGCAATCAGTGACAGAACTCCCTCTCGTTCCAATAGGACCAAGATTTTTATTAGCACTGTGTTATTGGTTCATCCAACCACTAACAGTTCAGTCCTCAAGAACTAGCAGAAACTCTGGAAATAGATGAGTTTAGACAAAAGACATTTTCTCCTTAAGAAAAATGAGAGCATTAATCATGAAGTCGCAAGTCTATAGGTCTCTCTATTATTTAGATCGCTACAGTCCCTGGAGGGAATAAAATTTGACCTCTAGTTACAAAGTGAACAGTGCCTTATCTGCCTTAACCTTTAAATGTTGTTTTGTAAAGAAGCGCTCTGCTTTTGCTCAGCTCTGTGGGTAAACTGAGTGTTCTGAAGCTTTACACTTCAAAGAAACTGATGGACTGACTATAGATCCTTTCACCAGGTACACAGAAAGAAACTTGCTTTTAAACTTAGTAAGTACAAAAGCTTTTAAGAGTTACTATATATTTTCCTAGAAAAGTTACAAGTGGCTGATGCACCCATTTAAGTAAGAGATATAAGAATACAGATTTACTTTTTTGCCATTCATACATGGCAGAGTTTCTCCATCCTAACCAGAGTGGCAATAGGTCACTGCTTTCTACACACAAGACATGGTAATTGTATAAAAGATGTTATGAATAATGCCCATATAAGGGCTGTTCTCACAGAAACCATAGTAGTTCACATCAACATTGTAAGACTTTCAAAGTTTGAATCAGCACCTTTTACTGGGGTATGTTACTGACCTCTAGAGCTGGTATTTTGGAACATAAGCCTGGAAATAGTCACTGAATTTTCAGAACAGACAATTTAAAGGTGGCTTAAACACCAAATATTAAGACATCACTAATATCCTAACAGTCCTGACGTAGTCAAGCCCTAAGCCACCAAATACAAGCAGTGGGAACCCAAATTGCCTCACGGAGGGGGAACTATTCTTTGATGATCTTGGGTCATTTAATTAGCACTTTAAAAGGTCATTGCAATACAGAAAGTGCTTCGATTTGTTTTCTACTGTGAGGAGGCAGCAACATAAAGAATTTCAAAAGGAACAGGATATTAAAGAGCAGACTGAAAACTTGGCATAAGGGCCTGTGAAATCAAACATACTTAAAACAAACAAACAAAAAAAATCCATCCACGTAATTGAAAATTCTTCCAGGAAAGAAAAGTATGTGAAAATAATTCCAAGACGACGACAAACTCTGAAGTCTGGCTTGCTTCCTTTCCCTCTCCCATTTACCTTACTTTCACATTTGTTTTCCCTCACTGCTTTTTTCTCGTTCCCTGTTTTTACTTGGTGGAATAAATGACAGTGCAAATAGGAAACACGAGGGCATAGCTTTAAGCTAGTTATTACATGAATTAGGGATAACTTCCTTGACAGTGCAGGACCAACTCCAAGTAGTGTCTCGTGTTTCATCTGCATCACTTTCAACATTTTGGGCAATAGGCTGAAAATGCTGTGTCACGAACTAGAAAATAACTTTAAAAAGATAGGAAAAGGGTATGAAGAGTCTCTGTGTAGTGCATTGCTGTTCTTCAGTTGATCATTCACGCTATGAGCAGAGGACCACATCAGCATAGCTCTTCTTTTTGTAAAAGGAGGAAGACCTGTAAGAGACCTGTAGTAACAACAGGGCATTATCTTTGTGTAATCTACAAAAAGAATAGAAGTTTCATTTTGTATGCTGAATTTTAGTGAAATGCAGTTAGTTAGCAAACATTGCCAGGAGATATTCCTACCAAAAATGCCGATGGACAGAGATTTAAATTTTGAATGCTATTTAGAGACAGCTATTCAAAAATCTCAATCCCACCAAAAAAAAAAAAAAATCACATACCCACGCTTACCTTTAAAAATATTAATATTTTCCTTACACACAGTCAAACTAACCACACATTTAACAAAAGTGCACCGGCTTGCAGGTTTAGAAACTTAATGTTCAGGCAGCATGCTGAAGAAACAAGAGGCAAAACTAACGCTTGCAGTTTCATTCTCAGACATTCCATGGGAGAAATTATCTAATCTTATGAAAAACTGAGAGTAGAGGAAATTTAAAATATTATAGTATACAAGAATTTAAGCAAACCTGTATTTCAAGTAACATAAAATTACAGAAAAACAAGTTTTTGCCGCTGTAGGGGAGATCAAAATAGCAGAGATAAAGGAATATTGGCAACTCAAGTGAAAGCCAAAAATATGCTGTAAATACGCCAGTGTCCAGCAGGAGGAGCCTGTGAGCTTGCTATATTGATTTTGCCATAACGACGTTGAAAAAATCATAGGGAAGCCACTGTAATATAGACACTGAGTGAACAATGTCCATTATACTTCTTCACAGCAAATCCCAGTATACACCTCGGTTTTGTATACACATTAATTTTTTTCAAAACGTATTACTGTACAAGTTAAGATTTAACACAAGGTCTCATTTTACAAATACAGTATGGAAGGGAAAGCCTTTCAGGGGTGCTGGACATCTCTCATAATAGAACGAGATGCTATTTATATTCATAAGAGATGCCTAATAAAACCTTTTATGACTTGTCTAGTGTTTTATAAGCACTTCCTTTTTTATCAGGAGAAAAGTTTCATCTACTGGATTTGATACATAACATCAAGCCCTTTTCATTTGGGGATCTTGAAGTAATTTCTGAAAGTATTGTTAACCTTGTTTTGGACATCATAAAACAGATGTGCAGAGATGAAAAGATTGGTCACACAGCAAGTCAGTTCCAGAGGAAGGAATAAAATCCATATCTGCTAAGTGTAGATACTTGTGCTCTATACATTTCTCATATCTATTTTTAATTTTGTAGTTCTCAAATTGATCTACAAGTCAACTGCAAACTTTCTGGAACAAAATATTTCATATTCAGAGACCTAACTTAAATTAAGAACAAGATTCAGACATTTAGACAAGAAATAATTTCTGATAAGCTTAGTCTTACAAAGTGTCCTAAAGAGGTAAAAACGTTGGTTACTAGAAGGCAATGTAAATGGTGCTTATAACTTAGACACAAGTTCTAGAATGGAGTCACACCTGTTCCTAATACTAATTTACACTCCCTAGTAACACACTGAACATTTATGCCTCGAATAAGATGCTTTCTGTCCGTGTTTGTCACCGTTCACCATTGTTAACAAAACCGATAAAGGCAAAGTTTTGGTGATACAAGAAGATTTTTCTCTGTTATTTAAACAGATATCATATCTGCAGTAAAACTGACTTTATCAGAAGACTCTGCTCTTTCAGCACCCAGATCTAAAAACAGGGAAGTCATTAATACCTTCAAAGGTATTAATATTGAAGATGGCATAGCTAAATCCTATCTGTAAGATGTGGGTCACTTACCCTAATTTGTGAAGCAAATCGAGATCTTCCAAAGCAAAGGTGCTGTATTCAAAGTATTGTTTACCCCTACTGATTACCTAAAGTGAGAAAGGATGCGGAGAGAAAAGAGAGATGCAAGAGAAACATTACCCAGCTGAGACACAGTTTTCTGCGTTCACTGCAATGTCTAATTACCCAGCGGTAAAGATTATTGACGGCTACCGGCTATAGCCCCCGAGGGTCTCTCAGTCACCTGGGATGCCGGAGCAAAGCAACAGCTTCACCCCCTCATCTGGCAAATCGCTGGGCACAGGAATCAGAGCCTAGAGGCCGCCTACCACCGAGTGCAGCTGAGGCGGTCGGCGAGGCTCCCTGAGAAGGGGTGAAGGCGAGGAACCCCCCTCCCCGGCTGCCTGGAGAGAACGGGAATCCTGCCGCCTCAGCAGCTCGCTGCCTGGCTCTGGGGCCCGTTGCCCTTAGTGAGGAGCCGCTTCGCTTCTCTCCACCCACACCGGCTCCTCGCGTGCGGCTACCGCTGCTTTCCCTCGCTTGCATTTGAACTACCCGCCCTTACCAACCGCTGCCGCACTGTCTCCCCCGCCCCCTCCGCGCTGCGGCCCTCGGGAGAGCGGCGCCGCCCTAGGGTGAGGGCAGGGCGTCGGCGGGGCAGGAGCCTGAG